CGCTGGTTAAGATTACGCACGCCTGATGCCAAATCCATGTACAACGAAGCCACGAGGCATCTTAAAGCTGCTCTCGCCCTGCTTCAAAAGAGGTGTATCAGCGATGCGCTGGTACGAGCTGAATCGCCCACTGACGCAGAGTTTCAATTATGGAAATTTACAAGAAAGCTCAAACGGCAGCCAATACGACGTCATCCCATTCGGAGCATTTCTGGTTCCTGGCACATTGGAGACGAAGCTCAAGCTGAGGCTTTTGCAAACCACCTTCAAGACCAATTCACGCCGGTGATTACCGCAGAGGCCTCAGAAATCGAAGCAACAGAAGACATCGTTCTCTCGCCCCTCCCAGCTGAAGACCAGATAACTGGATGTACAAAAGAAGAGGTTCTTGAACACATCAGAAGAGTGAAGGCAAAAAAATCCCCTGGATATGATCTAATAAACGGCAGAGTCCTTAGAGCACTGCCTGACTCCACCATAGACTACATAACTATGGTGTACAACGCCATGCTCCGCATCCGGCACTTTCCAGCCTGCTGGAAGCGCGCCGTGATTGTGATGATTCCTAAGCCTGGCAAACCCGTGGGAGAAATTGAGTCGTACAGACCAATTAGCCTGTTGCCAGTACTCTCCAAAATATTCGAAAGAATATTTCTGGAACGAGTACTGACACATCTGGGACGCCAGGAGGCCATTCCAAACCATCAGTTTGGCTTCAGGAGACAGCATGGAACACCGGAACAGGTTCACAGAGTTGTGCACCATATCCTTGGAGCCTTTGAAGAAAAGATGTACTGCTCTGCCGTCTTTTTAGACATCAAACAGGCGTTTGATCGAGTTTGGCACCTGGGACTGCTGCAGAAAGTGAGGACCACCCTTCCAGCCCCATTTTTCGCGTTGCTATCCTCATACCTTATTGGAAGAACCTTCCAAGTGTCAAGGGGGCAAACAGTATCCTTGACTAGACCAATTATGGCTGGAGTACCACAGGGTAGTGTTCTAGGCCCAACACTTTATACTTTATTCACAGGAGATATGCCAACTCCCGAGCCAAATATAGGAAGTACAGATGCAGTACTCATAGCGACCTATGCAGATGACACCGCCATCTTATCACGTCACGTATCTGCGCAAGAAGCTTCAGACTCACTACAAAAATATCTGGACTCTTTCGGACGCTGGGCAAAACGGTGGTGTATCACCATTAATGCACAAAAGTCTGTACATACTACCTTCGCCACTAGAAGAGGAGATTGCCCAAGCGTTGCATTGGGGCCCACTATTCCCAAAGCCTCAAAAGTAAAGTACCTTGGTATCACTCTTGACAGAAGGCTGACTTTTAAAGCGCACATAAGTCAAGTAACCTCAAAATGCAAAAGCAAGCTAAAAACCCTCGACTGGATGCTGAGAGCTTCAAGCAAGTTGTCTTACAGCAGCAAGGCCGCCATCTACAAGGCAATAGTTGTCCCAACCTTCGTATATGGTATCTCTCTATGGGGCTCCTCGGCGAAGACTACAAGGAACAAAATTCAGACCCTGCAGAATAAAGCACTACGCAGATGGACTGGAGCCAGCTGGTTTGTAAGAAACTCAGTCTTACATAGGGATTTAGCAATTCCCACAGTTGCTGAACTCATTGGGCGACACAGTTCAAGATACGCGGACAGACTTGCAGCGCATCCTAACCATCTCGCAAGCAACCTGGCTATAAACAACAATAGGCGAAGACTGAAGAGATTGCATCCTCTAGACAATATTAGAACTAATTAAGATAGTAGCTACAAGTGCAGAATAATTGGCATATCTGCCCTCCCATTAGTTAAGGTTTAGAGCTAAATGCGCTATAGAGTCTAAGACAATAAGCTGCAACAAAATAAAGAAATAAAAACGAAAAAAAAAAAAAAAAAAAAAAAAAAAAAAAAAAAGAAAGTGCGTCTAGAATTATTATAGACTCCGAGCTCTTCGTGGATTCCCTTGTCTGAGTGAAGTAGGTGTGGGATGGAGATCGTTCTAAGCGCTCTATTTAGAAATATATGTATAATGTTACAGTTGGAATGGCTGAGAGTGAACCAGTTTGAAATACCATAATTGCACATCAAGCTCCTAATCAACAAGAATATATGAATATTTTGCAAGATATTTGCGCCTGAAAGTCTGCAAATCTCGTTTTGAATGCAATTTAGAGTCAGAACTGCATATGGTAATTCAGCTGAAGTATGCATGCAACTCAGAAAACGAAGCATTTCATAAAAAAACTTAAAATAAATATAAAATATGATTCCTTAATGGAAACTTTAAAACTTTTAGCATAAATATCTTTTTGAGAGATGTTGCTAAGTAATGTTGCTAAGCAATGTTGCTAAGCATGGGCGCTTTGAAAAAAGCTGTAACTTTTATGCTGTTGCCATTGACAACTGTTGCGTGTGAGCCGAAGGCTGAACGCCGAACGACGAACGCCGAACGTTGACGAGCTCGGCAAACCACACACACACAAACAATGAAACAGGCTGGCGCAGGCACTGGCAGACGAAGGCTGGCAACATAATTACGCGCTGCTCGCAGCCGCACTCGCTGTGTACTAAAAAGCCACACAATTGTTGTATTAAACACATTAAATGTGTGTGCGCTGTACACATGTAGTGCACAGAGAGCGAGCGAGAGAGAGAGAGAGAGGGAGAGAGGGACAGGCACAGACACATTTAGACTAATATACATTGCTTTTTAAAGTTTGGCTTGTATTGGTAAATAATAGCGAACTGCGAAGGCACAAAAAGGGCAAACAGCTATTGTACTTTATGTAGGCATCACATCAAGTGTTTAAATGTAGCCCAACAGACACACACACACACACGCACAGCTGTGTGTATGTGTATGTATCTAGAGCCAGGCACATTATATAAAATTTATAAATACTTCTAAGCGCTACCTCCAAAGGTGCCTGCGTGTGCGGCTCTCTGTGTGTGTGTGTGCGTAAATGTCGGTGTGTGTGTGGACTGTTGTTAGTCGGCCGACTGGCGACTTTATTGCTGTATTATTGGCCTTTAATTTGACCATCAATATTTTCGCAGGCATCAGCGTGAATTTCCTGCGTTTTCCGTTTGGCTAATTTGTGTTATGTTTTCTTTTGAATTTCAATTGTTTTGTTTTCGCTGTTTGTTGTTGTTGCTGCTGCTGTTGCTGTTGCTGGTATTGTTATCTTTTCGAGCTCTTATTTAACTTGACTTTACAAGCTGTGCAATTAAATTGATTTATGGCCAGCATATTTAGGTCCGGTTGCTATTGAGCCTGCCTTTGCTTAGCATAGCAGCAGCTACTATAAATAAACCTCTCAATGACTTAGTGACTGCTCCTAATTACTGTTCCACGTTTTATTGATAAATCTTTAAATAAATGTTTTAAAAATAAATATATTTATATATGTATATATTATAACAAAGCTTCTACTCAAACTAAGCTCAAATAGTTCATACATATTTTTGCTTAAATCTGTCTTTTAGAATTTTTGCTTTTGACTGTATAATACAAGTTGATTCGACTCAATTTGTTGCAACTTAGACTCTAAGGGTTCATTAATGAGTAAAGTAAAGGCTCACCAACTGTAGGAATAGCTTATTTCTTTTCTTAACTTATGAAATATTTACTGATTAGTCGCTTTTAGGCAGTTTAATCTAAGCAGAAATCATTGCTTGGGTAAGTAAGAGTTATGAGGTGTAACAACAGCGAAGGCTTAATGAGATATTTCATATATTTTAAGTCAAGACCCCATTCTTCTAGCTCTAATGCGCAGGCCGGACAGTTTGGCTGATAATCTAGACTCTAGCCTCTTGTAGCCTTTAATTTTGGCACCTATGCCTCCCCTTCTCATTCTTCTTCTCTCACTCTCTACCTCTCCTGATCACATGCAATTTCATTAATAATTTGACTTTCACGCAAATTTCTAAAATTTTACATTGCATACTTTTAGGCGAGCTCAAAACTCAGCTATGCAAACGGCTTATTAATTACTCGCACTATGTAGTTAACCAAGGGTTGCAGTTGGCAGTTGCAAGTGCAATTAGGTGAGTAGCAGTAGGCAATGAATTGCCTCACTCAAGATGCATAATTCAGGGCGCCGTGAGGCATGGGCCGTAAAATGTTGTTTGCCGGCCACGCAGCGCGGCTGGAGGCAAAACTTGAGCTGTTTATGGCCGAGGTCTGGAGCGCACTTGCCACTTACCACTTGCCACTTGCCACTTACGTAGTCCCTTCAAGGGGCAATAACAAAAGGCGGCGCAAAATGTTGCGCTGCGCCTGCTCATTATGCGCGGGCCGGGGCAGCATCCCTCAGGTTTGCCTTAATGTAGTTAGCACTTGATTTCGGCCCCACCTGTTAGCGTTAGGCGTGCCCCTTGCTTCGCAGCCCGCCGTTAGTCGACAATTTCACGCATCCATTGTTTTCAACAACATTTGTTTTTCATCACTTTGTTTGTTGCGCATATTTTGCGGTGCAGGACGAAAGGTCCTGCCTGGAATTATAATCTACGGCCACTTCTGCGTGTTTATGGCTTACGAGCCCAAGCCTGAGCCAAAAGGGCACCAAAAAGGCAAATATTTTCGCCCAGCATAACCAAAGGAAAACAATGTGCAACATTGGAGTGAAGCTGTGCAACAGTGGCAAAGTTTTTAAAGCTGTTTGCTCAGCCACTTAGCGACGAGCGACCCTCCCAGCTACCGCTCCCGCCATGCTCTCTGTTACGTCATCCCGTGGCGATCTGTTAATTAGCAGCAATCAGCCATTGTTTTATTATCGGCCACGCCCACTGAGTAGAAATCGAATTGAGCTAAAATTAAATAGATTTATTATTCAATAAATTGAACGCTTACGCTTACAATATTTGTAGCTAATTTAGTTAAGTGTTGGCTTTGGAGTAGTTGGGGGACAAGTGCTGCTGCTGCTGCTGCTGCTTCTTCTTCTTCTTCTTATATGGAGTGCCAATGCGCAAACAGTTTTTTTTATATTTTATTTTATATCAATATAATTACTTTATATGCATGTGTGTGTGTGTGTGTGTGTGTGTGTGTCTATATGCTTTATGCTTTAGGCTCATAATCGTATTTATGTCTATATACTACGGTCTATGGTCTATGGTTTATATGGTCAAAATGCAAATGTGTGTGTGTGTGTGAATGCTCACTTAGAATTATATAAAGATAAGGTATACATATATATATATTAATGTATATAGAGAGATATTTACTACTACATAGCATTTATTGATATGTACACAAGCTTTGCAGCCTAACACAATTTAAAATAATTAAAAAAAACAAGAGCAAAGCTGAAACGAATTTTTGCTCTCTTAAACGAGTTCTTCTAAGCCAGGGCGGGGGCTGGGGTTTTGTGTTGCGTGTAACCTTGGGCACCCTAACAACTAATCAAAAGTATTATTAAGCTTTTATCTGCGCTTCTCTTGCTGTTCTTGTTGTTCTTGTTGTTGTTATTGTTGTAGCTGCTTATATAACTAGGGCCTATAAATAAATACAATGCTCGCAAGCTTGTCTTTTATGCAAAGTGTGGAAAATGAACATACTAATCGATATATCGTATATATGCATATATAACTATATATATATGTGTGTGTGTGTGGTTTCATAATGGGCGCGTGGGCGTAACTGCTATGTGGATGCACTTTTGTCTTAGCCAGGCTAACGAGTTCACACACATCATTCACTTGCTCGCTGCTAAGCCTAACACACTCGCTGCTCACACAACAACCTAACTCTCTGTCTGTGTGTGTGTGGTGTGTGTGTATTTACATTGGATTATGCTGCGTGTGTGCGTGTGTGTGTCTGTTTTTTATTTTTCTGAAAAATATGACTTTGGTATTCCTATTTCGTTTCGTTTTTATACGGTTTCCTTGACCACTCGCACTTTACGAACTGGCTACAGCATCTTTTAACAGCGACCCCACACCCACACCCACACCCACACCTAAGCCTACGCCCACGCCCCCACTGCCTCCATTGACAATGTCTTCAGTTGGCTGTGGCTGCTGCTGCTGTTGCTGCGTCTCCTCGTCGTTTGCCTCATTCTGGCTAACTTCCTGGCTGCTCTCGTGTGCAGTCGCAGTGTTGGCCTCCTCGGGCGCTGGCTCCTCGCCTCCTTCCAGGGCTGCAGCGGGCGCAACTGCTTCGCTGTCTGGGTCGGGGTCGTCGTGACGCTCTGACCCGCCTGTATTGGCCACCAGCACGCCCGAGTACTTAATGCCATTCAGCTCCAGATTGACAATCAACTGCTGCTCGCCATTTGCGCCGGTGCCTGTGCAGTAGCGGATGAATGATTAGATTGGGAACGAACGCTCCTAATTGGATTGCTTACCATTGCGTGCCACTTGAAACTGCATGCCCGACAGCAGGCTGAGTGTCTCGAGGGGATTTAGCTTGACGCCTCCTCCCCCGCTTATGGCCGCGCTGCTGCCGCCGGCTGTGCAGTTGTCGTGCTGCGTGTCCTTGGGGCTGGACTGCGCCTTGCTGGCTCCGCTCTTCTTCTTGGTGGAGACCGGCGAGCTGTGACGATGACCGCCCGATGCTGACGCTGTGGTGGAAGTGCTGGGTGAGTTCTCAATGGCCGAGTCATCCGATTTGTCCAGATGATTCTGATGATGATGATGATGATGGTGGTGGTGATGGTCGTCGTGATGGCCATTCAGCTGCTGTGGCTCGCTGTCGTCGTGCATAGACGAGGAATTGCCGGTGGTATTGTGCTCTGCATTGCCATAGTCATCCTCTGGCTCGCCGTCGGACGCTGCGTCCTGTTGCTGCTGCTGCTGATGCAGATGATGATGGCTGTTGCTGTTCGCCTGGTGATGGAAGCCAGCGGCGGCTGCCACAGCGGCCATGTTGTGTGGATTCAAGTAGAAGTTTGCGGGAAAACCGGGTGGCATCAGACCGCTGCCCACGCGTTTCGCTGGCGGCGGTTGATGCGGTGCCTCATCATGATCCGTCGGCTCCGGCGTAGGATCGCGTTCACGTTCACGTTTTATGTGATTCAGATTCAGAGTTGGCGGCGAATCGGACAGGTTCAAGGCTTCGCTAAAGTGTGCAGAATGTAAAGCGAAAAGCTCGCTGGTTAGTGTCTGAGCTAAGCTAAAATGGAGCATGTCTATGCTAGGCCGTGGATATAACAGCTGCGTATAACACTTACCGTTGCTGTGGGGAGGTGTGCGCCGAGCCGTTTGGACTGCTATTGTGATACATGTGCCAAAGCGCCACCTGTGCACTCAACGCATCGCGCGTGCTCAGCTCTGGGCTCTGGGAGCGCTGTCGCTGCTGCTGTTGCTGCTGCTGCTGATGATGATGCAGCGACTGTTGCTGCTGCTGCTGTTGATGCTGTTGCTGCTGCTGCTGCTGGTGATTGTGTGTGGCAGCCAGCACAGGACCAGCGCTCTGTTCCTTCTTGGCCTGTATTAGCTGCAGATACTCCATCATGCGATTCTCGATCTCCTGCGTCACCAGATTGGGCATCTGGCCAAACGCCGGTCCGCCCATCAGTCGGCGGTGCGCTGCGGCGGCTGCTGCCGCTGCCTGCGCCTGCTGATTGTTGGCCGCCGCGGCGTGTGTGACCAGTGCCAATGGCGACATCTGCTGCATGCCACCGGGCAGCGGAGCGCGCGAAATGGGTGTCTGCAGAGGCAAATGCGTTGATTATTGGAGCTCAAAGAAAAGCGAGGATGGTGACGGGGGGTGGGAGGAGTTGGGGTCAGCTCTTACCAGCGGCATCTGATTGTGCATTGCCTCGTATTGGCCGTAGCTGGAGCGACGTCCTTCGCGTCGATTGCCATCGATGGCCGCCTGCAGCTCGGCCGGTGTGCTCAGGTTCTTCTTCTCGCACTCGTACGGGTACAAATACTTCATGTATCTGAAAGATGCATAAAATTATTAATAGGCGCAGCAAACATGCATCGAGTGCAAGTAAAACACATCGTCGTCGCAGTCCTGTCGCATTCACGTTTATATTGAATTATCGTGTAAATATGAAACGTGACGGACGCATGAACAAACAGAGGAGCAGCAGAGCAACATGCAACAGGCAACAGGCCACTGGCAACAGGCAACAAGCCACAGGCAACTGGCGAGTCGAGCTGATCGATAGACCCCTTGATCGGTTTGCCGATGTTTGATTGTTCCGTTCTCTATTTGCTCGCCAGCATTTGCCTCTGTTTGAGCAGCGCATAGTTCTCGGGCAGGTGTCGATTGGCGTTCTATGCGAACTGCAGTTACTCTGACTACTTACTGGGTACGCAGCGTGAACGCGGCACTGGTGATGCTCGACGGCAGATGCAGTCCCTTGATAATCTCCTGCCAGAGCTTCTTGTTGATGACGTCGACGAGGCCGCCGCGTGCTATCACCAGATTATATAGCTCATACAGATCCAGCACCGATTTGGCCATGATGGGCAGCCGATTGATGGGCGTGCCTGTTGAGGAATGAGAACAGATACAGATATAAATACATATACAGATACAGATATAAATACAGCTGCAGATACAGATACAGATTCAGATATAAATCGATTGCAACTGAAAATTAGCAATGCGCTTTGTTTGCCCCATAAAACTTCCACTTGTGGCATGTAAATGTTTTCTAATGCGCTTGTTAAATGCACCAGCAAGCAAAACACGATTAGAAGATGCCATAAAACAGATTTATCGCATTGTATCTGCGCTGGGCCCACGCCCTCTCTCGCACGTTCGGCCAGGGGGCAATTAACACTAGTTGCCAACAACAACTCCCAAGTGCAGAGCTCTCTCTCTCTCTGTGTGCCCGTGCGCCGATAAAAACATAAATAAATCCAAAATGTTGCCGGCATACACATGTTTGTACATATGTCGATATGTGTTTATGGCGGCTAATCATCATCATCTTTGGCATCAGCTCAGTTCTATTTCTCATTGGAATCGTATTATTCGATTTTCACTTGCCACGCCCCACACCCATTTGCCTGCCTGCCCATTTCAATTTGTTTGGATGCGTCCCAAAGAGTAAAAAAGCAAACAGCAGCAGCGACTTCAGGCATAGCTGCACCTCAAATCTCCTGCACTGAATGAGCTCAATTAATTTATATAGAGCAGTGATACCTTTGCTAAGACTTTCTCAAATTTTATATATGTATTTAATAATATAGCTATTTTTTGTAGGCTCTATCTTTTATATCTCTGTTTGAAGCCTTTTTGTATTAGTCTCTGTATTCCTAACTCTTTGCTTTACGCTTCACAGTTACTGACTTGTCTTTAGCCACATTGTTTCATTATTTAAGCATATTGTATTTGCTATGAAAATCGCATAGAAAGGCAATAAACTGAGCAGAATACAGAAGTATATTTTCAAGTGTTGCCAATGCATATCCCTAACACAAGGCAGCATCTGCTAAGTGTACAAATAATAAAGCTTCAATAGTTCAGTTAGAATACACAACTGAGTAAGACTTTATATAGCTACATTTAGTCTATATAACATATAGTTATATTATATTATATATATATATATATATTACATTTATGCACTTATACATCGTTATATTACATAAGGAATAGTCTCTATGCTATGACTTATGCTTGAATTACGATACATTCAAGTCGAAAGCTTCATGTTTATAATCAAATATCTTGAGTTTATGAAAATCACATAGAAAGGCGCTAAGTAAAGTAAAGAGTATATATAAATGTATATATAATGTATTGATATAACAGTTTCTACTGAGTATGTCAAATATTTTCTATAATCCAGATGAGCTCTGTTTCCAGATCTCAGAAAGCTTTACATAATTTAATTTAGTCTCTATCAAATGAAGTCACCACTCAACTTCTTAACTTCACATGCAAGTGCAAGCTCACCTCTCATGTTGATGGACCTCACTAGTGTAGCGCAGTGGCGCATATAAAAATCAAATCAACTTGCATAATTGCTGTACGTGAGTAACTTGATTTTGTATAGTGATGCTGTGTAGTGAGCCCCGTTCCCTCTTTCATCTCAAACGATACAAATACAATTTTGTTGAATATCATTTAATGCTGCTCGCTGCTGCTGCTGCTGCTGCTGCCAGAGAGTTATAGTTTGCGCCAGTGCCTGGGCCTGGGCCTGCAGCCTCTCGACTTTTTATGAGCCCGAAGGAATCAATCAAACTCGTTGATGGACGTGTTGATTGAATGAAAATACGTTTTTGTTTTTTATGCATATAAACAAATGTGAGGCGAGGCGCGGCGATGCGAGAGGGGCCAACGATGATTGCATATCACAAAAACAAAAAAAATAAAACGAAATACAGAAAGAAACGAGTAAATCGAACGATTTATTTTGTGGTCCGAGGCTAAGGACCAGGCCAGGGGAGGTGTGGAGCTGCTTCGATTGTGATGCTGCGATCATTTGGATCACTGCACGAGCCACAAAAGCAACAACAACAAAAAAAAAACACAATCAATGGCAATTTAATGATTAACTTTGCTCCAGTCGCACAGCGATCATTAAACCCATCCAGAAATGTTCAAACAAATCGCAAAGGTCGCCTCCGGCTGCCAACTTGCAACTTGTCGATCTCGAGTGGCACTAACACGCACATGTTGCAACATGTTCGAATTAACATTATCATTATTATTATTATTATTATTATTCTTATAATATTTATACATTCTTTTAATCGAATGAAAGTCCAAGTCCAAGTCCTCAATAGGAATTGTGTTTTCCTTTGATTTTGCATGATTCAACGATTGGCCAAAGCCCAAAGCAGTTTAAAGCAAATGTAAACAAGTTAAAACTATTTGAGCGACGAGCGATGAGCGCTCTAAACTGTATTTATTTATTTTTATGCATTGTTTTCTTAGATGTCATGGCATTTTAATGGAATCTAGAGAAATTTGATAGAGTCTGAAATCATAACGCACCTAGTCGCCCCGCCTGACAGCTGATTTAGTTGGGTTGCTTGGCGGGCGTTGAATTTGTGTTTTTGTGATATTCGTTTGGACCGATCCCAGTGGGAAGGGTCTGTCAGCCGAGCACTGAGAAATATCTACAGAAATAGCGCGCCCGGTTGATAAGTGATTGACGTCTTTTAATTAAGAATTGCGCCGCTCTTCGCTGCACAAACACACACGCGCCCCACCAGCTAGCTACACAGGGACGCAAATGCCGAGGCGAACGCGCAGCGTATTTAGTTTATATATTTTTTCAGCATAATTTCCGTTATACGGTTAGTTGTACAATTGTACAATATCGGAGCAGATATAAATATAGTTATGGACGGAGCTACAGAAGTGTGTGCGCCGCGCATTTTCGGCGCTGCTACCAACTGAGGGCGACACTCTAGACAGGCAGTCGCAGTCAGAGTCACAGTCACAGTCACAGTCACAGGCGCAGTCACTGTGCGCCTGCACACACATATGTCAAAACTTGAACGCAAGTGACAGATTAAAATCCATTAAGTTGTCAAGTTGTTGGGCAGATCTGTATGCCAGCTAAGCATGAGTATGTGAGAGTGAAAGAGAGAGAGAGAGAGAGAGAGAGAGAGTGTGTGTGTGTGTGTGAAATAGATAAAATAAATACAAAAAAACAAATGCAATTTTAGCTTTGTGGCAACATGTTGCAAGTCGAGCTTAAGCATTAGCATGTTTATAAGGCAACACACACACTCACACACACACACACACACACACACACATGCATGTGGCTTTTTCTTTGCACAATATTTTTGCTATGCATGTCGCAAAGGCAAATATCAACAAATTTAATGCACTCTGCAACGCGCAAATACTTCAGTTTGCTATCGCTTGCTGTGACTGGCCAGCAGCGAGGACCTGTGCGCGTGTGTGTGACAGGAAGTGGCATTTGTTGTGGGCCAATGTTGTGCAGCGTTGCATGCCACATGCTCGCCCAGTCATTTGGGCAATTGTTAATGTTATTAATGACGAAATTTTCATGTTGCCATTTAAAAATAGTCGTAATTTTTTCAGTGTAACATTTAAGTACTCATAAGCGACAGCCCTAACACCCCGCCCCGCCCCCACCACACTTGGACGCTGCCTCGAAGTGTTCTTGAAGCGTCACAACGTAGCGATGTTGCGACGTTGCGTTTCTTTGACTGTAATTTGGAGTGACAAAACGACAAAGCGACAAAAGTGCGGCATCATTTTGATGATTTCTCTGGCGTTCGGTAGAAATTTCTGCATATTTTAATGCACGCGCAGAGCCGAGCGACAAATCAAACGGCAAAGTGCCGAGAAATTTATTCAATTAACATAATTTGAGTCCGTCCGAAGCGCAAACACTTCAAACTTGCTTAGCTGAGTCAGCAAATGCAAATGCAAATGCAAGTGCAGCCCCATCGGCCCGATCAGCAGAGAGCGTCAAGTGTTGTTCAAGTGTCCCTGCCCCCCTGCCCCATGCCGCATGCCGCATGCCCAAATAGAGCTGCTAGCTGAACTTACCGCGCTTTTGCATAAACGAAAACAAATCATCGAGAAACTCCTTGCGCTTGGGATCATCATTGATTTCATAGAGCTGCGAAGTAGAACAAGAAAAATTAATTATTATCATTGCTATTAGCATTATTATTATTATGAGTGCATGTAGGTTTCTGATTATCATTAGTGTGAGTTTTGTTTCATTAATATTGCACCAATCATTTATAATTAAAGTCTTTAGCCGTTTATAATCATTTCATTATTATTGTCATTGTCATTAGCATTAGCTTTTTCATTAGCATTACCATTAGTCCTATTACAATAATAATTATGTTCATAATCATAATTGTAATCATTATCATAAACATAATTATTATCATCATCATTATCATTATCATTAACATATTCATTAGCATTATCATTAGTCCTATTAGAATCGGAATTGTGTTTACAATCATAATTATAATTATAATATAATAATCATTATGATAATTATTATTATCATCATTATCATTACCATTAACATATTCATTAGCATTATCATTAATCCTATTATATTCAGAATTATATTCATGATCATATTTATAATCATAATTACAGCAATTAGCATTATGATAATGATAATCATTATCATCATTATTATTATTATTAATATTATTATTATTATTATTATTATTATTATTATTATTATCATTATCATTATCATTATAATTATCATTATCATTATCATCATTATCATTATCATTATCATTATCATTATCATTATTATCATTATCATTATCATTATCATTATCATCATCATTATCATTATCATTGTCATGACCATCAGTCATTGCCATTCCCATTAATAGATTCATATTTATAATTATAAACATAATCATCATGAGCATACTAATTATCATTAGCATTATAATTATTACGCAAACTATTCGTAGCATTGTTCATTATAATCATAAACACAATCCATTATTGTTATTATTATTTCCCCGATATACAAACATATGTAGCACGCTAACAATAAATGAACAATAATAGGGGCTCAAATACTTGACTTGTGGGCCAATGGATTGGCACAAAATGGTTGCCACACGCTATTCTATTGTGTGGCAGTGTTGTTTACTTGTTTTGTTGCTGCACAGCTCGTCGGTGTTGGTTAACAGACAATAGACGCCGTGACATGAATCGACCCTAGCTCTCGCTCCCTCTCTCGTTTCGACTCACTCACTCTCACTGGGGGTTGCAAACGTTTACGAACACAACGGCAAAACGTGTGAAGCACCCCAATGAGCATTAAAAAGGGCAAGGCTTGAGTGAGTGGCCTGGCACAATTCATAATTAGGTGATAAAGATGAGAATCTCTGTATATAGTACTTATGTATTTAGTTTATATGCAACTTGAATGAGTAGGGCGAGGCAAGAAATGAGCTGAGCTCTTTATATAAAGAGTAGTTGAGAGATTGGTTTGAGATCGTGTCTGGGTTTATAATAGTATTATTTATATTTGATCAGCTCTTGACGAGTTATAGTTTCTTAAGCAAAAGTATTCCTTCTTTATATAATATTATTATTACATATAATATTATCATTAATCTGTCTCTGCACCAAGTCTCTTTCAATCTAGCTTCCACAGTCCCCTATTCATCTATTCATCTAAGTATTCGTTGCCTTTCGTTCGTATTCGTGATTATTCATTTGTCTTTTATTTTTATTTCCTTATTTTTGCTGCACTTCATGGCTCCGCAGGCGCACACTCTGACCTTTAACCCATTTGCCAGCGTAGCTCCTTTGGCCCAATGTTTTGTTTCTTAGTTAAATTATCAGAGACTAGCTAAAACACACGTGTGCATGTGTGTCTGTGTGTGTGTGTATAAAATTAATGACAACATCTGAGTGAACTCATCAAATTTGGAATTCATCATACTTTCCGCCTACTGCTGAGGCTGAGGCTAAGGCACAGGCACAGGCAAAGGCTCTGGCTGGAGCTTTGTTGCTGCCTCTGTCTGGCTTTGGGTGCACATTCTAAGTCAATGCGAATGATGATGAACTGCCTCGCTTCCCCACTCGCATAAATGATTTAAAAGACGACTGTGGCCGCAGCAACATCTTCTCACTGGAGAAGCTGCAGCTGACGCTCAGTCTGACTCAGAGTCAGAGTCGAAGTCGAAGTCGAAGTCGAAGTCAGACTGAGGCTGACGAGTTGCCAGCGCCGATTCATTGCCATTGCCTCCAACTGCAAAGTTGAAGCTTCGGATTCAGCGAATGCAACTGCAACACACAACTCACAATTTCGACTGGCTGGCTGTTTTTTATGATGCACGACGCCCACAAGAGCTATACAGATACACATATATACACACATATACACACATAAATATATATATATATATATTGAAGTATGCGTATTTCTTATATTTCGCTTTGTGCCGGCTACAGAAATTGATTGAAGCCCAACTTGAAGCTCTTACGTTTAATGCTTTTTGACGAGTTTGTGGCCAAACAGCGGCAAAAAAAATTTGTTATTTATTTATTTTTTTCTGTTTTTTTTTTGGATTTTTTAATTAAAGTTTTGGCTGCTTTTAATGCCTATGTATTGGCCATATTCATAATTTATGATCAGATTTGTTGCTCGTGTTGTTGTTGTTGTTGACTACCTCCTGTATTTGATCCTCCGAGATGAGCATGTTGGCACACACGAAAACACTTTTCACTTTTCACTTTTTGGTTAATTGAAAACTTGTTGCACTTGCAACATGAAATGCTCAACAGTTTTTGTCTATTTGCTATTTGATCAAGTCGAAATATCTTTCACGCAGGTTGCAGCCACATCGATTGATCAACGCGACGATGCAACGCCATCAAAGGTCGTTTATCAACTAAAAATATTGAATGTGCCGTCGAGTGCAGCAATCGACGCTGACGTCGCATGTGCGTGCGTGTGTGTGTGTGTGTGCATGTGCGTGTATCTATGTGCGCCTGTGGCCGCGTCTGCCTGCCGTATCTGTGTGCATTATTAATATGTACCTAATAAAAATGAAGTCCGCTTTGGGTTATTGGGAAGAGCCTGCCCGGGCAACCCTTGTCCAAATCCATGTTCCGAGTCCTGGAAATCGCTTTTGGGCTTGCATCACAGCAGCAGCAGCAGCAGCAGCCGCAAGCGCAGGTCAAGTTCACAAATCCGCCTAGTCTTTGGCAATAAAACAATAAAATACCCTAACAGAAGTTCTAGACCAATCATAATCGTTTTTATAACTAGACACATGTAACTGCTGCTGCTGCTGCTGTTGTTGTTGTTGCTGATCTTGTTGCGGACACATGGCACACACACAGACACTCCGCCCGGGGTTCGGTTATAAAAATAATCTCACTTATTTGTCGCTAGTACCTAAAAATGTGTGCTTGAAATTTGAATCCTTGATTCTGGGAATTGTCAAATGCGTTTCGCCAGATCGAAGTATGTGTTAATGTGCATGTGTGTGTGTGCGAGTGTGTGTGTGTGTATAATTTATAACTATCAGCATGGAAAGTGCAAGGTCTCCAAATGGAAATGCTACTAAAAATTATATGACAAGATCTCGTTGCATGTTTCTCTTTGCTGTGCGTTGCCTCGTTCGATCTGCTCATAATTTGTCCAGTTTCATTTACACATGCTCATTACACACACACACGCACACACACACACATGCAGCGACGTGTGTGTATCTTGTACACATATTTATTTAAGAATTTCACACTCGTTATTGAAAATCTGTTGACCAGATTTTTGTTTTGCTCATTTTAATTAACTGAAATTCGTTGAGGTTTCATTGCTTATTTTTTGTTTTTATATTTTTGCCTTTGTTGATTTAAGCACTTCTTCAAGTACAGTGCTTACTGATTAAAAACAATTCAAAGTTGAAAAATACCAATGATTAATGCAGCTGATTGAATTGAATAAATAAGATTCCTGGGTGAATAATATTAAGTGATTTGCAAAAGAAAACCATGAAGAAAGTTGCTGTCCAGCTGACTGACTGCTGAATACCCGTTCGAGTTGCAAAAATTGATAAATGAATAAGTTAAGTATGTTAAAGTCTCAAAAGAAGAATCTGCCGCGCCTCCAATTTATGTTTAGAGCCAATGTTTTGCTCTTGATTTCTCTACTTGAGTATAAACTTTAATTTTCAAATCTCTAGCACTAGGATTAACGGTATTTCTGCTATATCAGATCTAGTATTTTCTAATTTTTAATGCGCCTAGTGGGAAGACGATGGTATCAGCGAGTATATGTCACAATTATCAAGTCTCTAGCAACTTGAATAGGAGCATTTCTAATATATTACTATATCAGCTGTATTAATAAGCATTGGGAAAAACTTAACTTCATCTTAAAGAGGATGTTAGCTAGTATAGTTACTAAATTTCAAGTCTCTAGCACTATGCACAATGACATTTTTGTCAGCAAAGAGTAGACGTTCTAAATTCCAAAGTCTACCAACTTAATAGCATTTCAGCTATACTACTATTCCAGGTATATAGAATTTTCTCATACCCATTTATATATAGTTTTCCATTCCTTACAGATATATTATTATTTCATTCCCCATGCACACATATCTTTACATTTTATAAGACCAGACTATCACCGACTAGACATTCCTAGTTTAAATTCCCTAGAACAGTCCAGACACACATTACACCAACCGCATATACCCGACTCTTCTCTCGCCGTGCACGACGAGCATTGGAAGCCCAACTTCAATGCGATAAAAAGTTATAATGAAAACTTTTGCCGTATTGCCAAAAAGGTCGAAATAAAAGGGAATTATATTGACGTATGGTCGGTCTTCAGCGGGCAAATAAATCGATTTTCGAAATGGACAATAAAGTGCAAGTTATAAAAAACAAAGTGAACTAATTTGCAAGAGTTGCCTGCGGCAATAATTAATTTTGTATTTGTGTTAATTATTTTAGAACGTTCGCTGGCAATAATATAACAAATTTCATTGCCTTTTGTACAAATCGGCAATAGAATTTATAATTATTAACACTGAATAATGGCCAAAAGTGCGCAACAGTTTCATAATCCAGAAATCGCACGTATATATATATATAGATATATATATGTACACAAAGGAAATGTTCGTATGATAAAATAAAATAATATTGGAAAATGCTTTGGGGTCTATAATTAAACATAATTATTCAGTATGTACAGATAATTGACATTGATTAATGAGAGCAAGCCAACTATATATACATATATATATGTATATATGTATATACATATATGTAAATATATATATATATATAACTAAATCATATAGAAACGAGGAAAAAAATACCAAAATAATATTTCGTCTTCGTCTGCAATGGACGACGCTTGGATGAAGAGCGGAATAGATGGATGGATGGATGGATGGATGGATAGATGGATGAATAGTTGGTCTGACAACGACGATGACGATGACGTCGAGTGGTGTTTGGGGCGGCAGTCGCAGTTCCCCCGGCACTCGCCTGCTGTAGAACGATTTTCTTTTTTGGCATCTCACGAGGCAGACAAATTCAAAATGGCTTTTCATACGCGCAGCAGCAGCAGCTACTCACTCAATTAACATAATTATCGTTTTGAGCAGCGGCCGCATTTTCACAATTAATGAAAGCCGCCATTTTGTGGCCGCATCAAACTGTAGCTGCTCGCAAGGGATTAGGCAACTAAGAAAGGGGCCCAACACCTACCAGAGAGCAGCAGAGCCACGCAGCTGGTAGGCGTTGGCTGCTTGACTAAGCCGGTTTGCAGCAATCGCGCAGTCTGCCGCGGAAGGTGTTAAGCGTGAAGCACACACACAGACAGAGATACATTTGTATCTTTATGTGTGTAAGGGTCAAAGTTTTTATAGTGCATAGAGAATGCGGGCTGTTTGATGAATTGCCAGCGAGTCGGCTCGAGAGGGTGTACGCGATGCGCCTGGCCATTCGGCTGTCCGAGCGCACGTTAATCGAAGTTTAGTTTTTATGGCCAGCGGCAAAAGCTGTTGTGGTTCACACGACACGGCGCAACAATTTGGCAACCGAGTGCCAGAGTAGAGCAAGTATTTGTATTTTAATTACTCGATTGTTCACTTCTGCCACAAATTTCACGCTGGCTCTGCAGCCATGCGTGTAGAAATTGAGGCGTCTAGGCCCAAGCTAACACAACACTTCTGGGCACTTGTGGACCGCCCAGCATCAAAGCACCAAAGAGAGCAAAAGACGATGGAAAAACTGGCTCTTTTCTCACCAAATTAGTGTGCTCAAGATGTGAGCATTAATTGCTCAATTGCAGCAAACCGGAACTCTTTATTGCATGTGAACAGCTTCGGGGCGAAGCGTCAAAACGAGATCAAAACTTGGCGCATCCCCCGGCTGCACTCGTAACTGAGACGCACACACACACACGCACACATAGAGAGCGACTCATCTTAACGGAAAGGCAACTGGTTCAAGATCTTGGCTATTAGCCGTTAATTGATAGTTTGCCTAAACGGCTGGACCCGGCCAGCCGCTGCTCCGTATCTCCCCTAGACGCTTTAGTTGCCGTTGCCGTTGCCATTGCCGTTGTTGTTGGCTTGGCTTAGCTTGGCTTGTTTGCAAAGAGATTAAATTGACTAACACTAACCTGTCTGACTTGTTTGTACTGCTCTTCAAAGCTCCAGCCATTATTCTGCTGCGATGAATTGGATGCCTCGCTGGACGTCGATGAATTTGATGCGGAATTAGCTGCAAAATGACGCGCTGAGTTCAACAGTTTAAACACCGACTAATCCACAGCCCCATACCAACCTTCTTTGGCGCTTGGCGCTGTCGGCGATGCAAACGAAAAGGGATGTCCATTGCCTGCATTGTTGTTGTTGTTGTTGCTGCTGTTGTTATTGTTGTTGTTGCCAGCAGTGCCTGGTGCATTGGCAACGGCGCTGCTGCCGCTATTGCCTCCACCTGTGCCACCTGTATTATTGTTGCCAGCTGCTAGAGCTCCTCCGCTGGCGGCAGCGACGCCTCCATTGTAGCTGGCGCCATTGCTGGCCGTTGCACTTGCCGCATGGCCAAAGGATGCAGCTGCCGCAGCGGCTGCCACCGAATTGTGGGCCAGCGGAAAGGCCGAGCTTATGGTTGTGGGCAGCATATTGGCCCCAAAGGCAGCTGCATGTGCCGCCGCCGCATAGTCCTGTTCCTGCAAGGCAAACGAAATGAATTGTAGCCAAGGATTAATGCAGAAACTCATCTTTACCCCCATATCGAATCGAAATGAATTATTTATTGAAATATTATTTTTATATGAATTCTACGATTTAAATTCCAAATCACACAATTTGATATAAATTTTGATTTAATTGGAAATTATTTTATATAAAATTCAATGACAATTTCTATATATATCAAATTGTTGTGAGGTGTTTTCCCCACTTCTTTAGCTGGTTGTGCCTTAATTCGCTTCATAAAAAATTAATGTGAAAAACAATTAAAGAAAACATTTCAACTGCTTTTAATTAGCAATTATCATAGCTTTAATAGCTATATGAAACTTTGTAAAATATCAAATCTTCAAGTGAAATCTTGCATTTCTTAGTATGAGCTGCAGTCATATCTGTTCGCTATATATATATATATATATATATATATATATATATATATATATATATATATATATATATATATTTATTCTGCTGTCATTGGTTTTCTATCTAATCATTTTCCAGAGTCTAAAGAATTTTTATATTCATTAACAAAAATTAGTTTTTGCTTATAGAAAGTTTGGGCAGGTTTAAATTAAATTTTTGTTTATAGCAAATGTTGTGTAACCAATATCAATTATCATATTGTTAACGGCATATAAAAGTAGCTAAGTTAATGTATCTATCTAGTATATATCGACGTCAGGCCAGTTTAATAGGCGTGGCACTCAATTCCTCTAAAGCGCTGCTAGAAACTTATCGATTAATTGCCACGCAGCTGCCGAGCCATAATAAAAAATAATGGACTTTCATCTAAGTAGTAAACCCAACAATACATATAAAACATAATACATGAAGTAGGTTAATGTTAAATAGGTGTTTTTCCTTATTAAGCGATTATAATTTTTCATCAAATTTAATAAGAAATATGCTGATTTGAATATTCGTTTTAAAGTGTTCACAAAATATTGTATTTGTCATGAAATTTTGTTTTCTAATGCTCAGTCGCACTACTATTTTTATGAACAAAGCTGCAGCAGATTCGATTAAGTAGACAAAGCTAGCTGACGTCTGTCTGTTTATCCATCTAATATCTCACCTTGAAAAATGAAATTGTTTCAAAAGTAAATAGTAGCTTATTAATTGCGTTGACTTTTTAGCTCTTTTGGCATAGAAATATATAAAGAAATCAATGAAATTAAAAAGTTACCAACTTACTGAAAACAGAGTATTTCGGGTCTAAATCATCTGAGCCAACTTTGACTATCTTCATTTGTAACAACTTGAGACTTCAATGAATCATATCAGAGGTAAGATGGCGCTGCCTACGTCATACTTTTCATAGTTTTTCTCATTTCTCTAGCTATAGGAAATATAGACTTATTTTGCACATTAGAATCTCAGATCGTAGAACAAGATATCACTAAAAACTTGACTCCCAGCCTAACAAACTTGCCATTAAATTCTGGCCACAAAAAAAAAAGATTCTGAATCTATCCTTTATTAGCATTAAGGCATTAAAGCTTGTGGTCAATTATTCATTTTAGATACTACTCCAAATATCATGGCTGTCTCCAACTTATGACTAACTTCTGTGTTTCCCCAATCACATTTTCTATTACAGCTCTGTTCATAAAAATAGTAGTGCCGTAGAGCACAATTTCTATATATATATATGTATATATATCTGCATATAGTTACGATTCCTTTGACACTCACCATGAGACCCACTTTCATGTCGCGCACTTGCATCTTGAGCTTCTCGAGCACATCGCTGTGCTGCAGATTTGGAATGCTGTGTAGGCCGCCGATGCCCATGAAGCTGCCCAGAGCGTTAAGCGGATGATTCGGCGGCAGTTGGTGATGATGGCTGACATAAAGACAAGAATAACAATGGGAATAGAAATTTAATATAGCGAGAGGATATGGCTAAGGTAAGCACACACGTGCACACACACCTGAGTGGCAGATCTGTTTGCTGCTCTGGACTGGCAAAGTTGAGGCCAGCGCCGCCGGCGACTGTGTGACTGAGTCGAGCTGCAATTGCCGCCTTGGCGCTCAGCTGATGATGTTCACCGTCTACGGAGTCGCAGTCGCGCATCTCGTCATCCGTTCGATCGCCGTGGGACTGCAAGAGAGAGAGAGAGAGAGAGGGAGGGAGGAAGAGGACAGTTGGTAGAGAGAATTAGTGCATCAGACATTGTAATTGATAGTGGCGCTTATGTCAAAACATGCCGCAGCGATTGCGCCCAATGAATCTTGGCCAATTCCATTGATCGGCTCGATCAATGCGATTAGACGCCCGCTGTGCTGGGCGAATGTTCAACACTTTGTCAACTTGCGGCGGCTTTGGCACAGGCCAACGTACAGCTGCGTGGGCAGCGTTTAGCAAATGTTCATTGTTCTGGCCAAGTCCAAGGAGGGACAACATTAACACGTAAACAGAGAAAGAGGGAGAGGAGGAGGGGGAGGGCAGAGTTTTAGCAATTTCAATTGTATTGCCAGCGAGGCGACAACAAAGGTAACCACTTAATAAATTAACAATGGCAAGCCGGTAATGGCAATCAAGCAGAGCCAGAGCCTCAGTCGGAGCCACAACAGCCGCAGGTCCAAGCTATTAAGAGCGAGTGTAGCCAGGCCAGGCCGGGCCAAGTTGCAAGCTGCAAGCTGCATCCATGGCGTATCCGTGGCCACAGACGTTTCAAGCGTACTATTGCCAGCCGTGACTCTGGCAAGAAGTCCGCTACGCTTGGCCGGCTGTTGTTGCTGGTTGCTGCTGTTGCTAGTGGTGCTGCATGTCCGCGGTCCGGTCTTTGCTTTTTATGCATTTGGAGAGGTGCAAATTAAGCGCATCTGTGACTGTGTGCAAATCGGGAATTTTCAATTTAAACACATTCAAGCGGCAGCCAACCGATAGCTGCAGCAAACACAATGTAACCTGCCCCGCACAATGTAAGCCAAGCCAAGCCAAGGCAGGCACAGGTTAGGCCGGGGCTAGTCCATCAACAACAACGACAACATAATCATCATCAGCATCATCATCATTATTATTATTATAATGCTCATCAGCAGCATCTCAGTTTGCAACTCTTTTCATATGTGTATACAACATTTATCGCTGGTATCGCTGTCGCTGTTGTTGTCGTTGTCGCTGTCGTTGTTGTCGTCTTGGTTGTCGCATTGCTGTAATCATAAATGCAACCAAAACCAAGGCACACATAGACAAACCGGGCTCTATGGGCTATGGACTAGGGGTTATGGCATTCGCAGCAGCAGCAGCGCTTTAGAGTTCCAAGAATTCTTTGAAGTTGGCGCAAAACGCAAACGCCTTTAGTAGTGCGCAGCGCATAGCTGTACACTGACAAAAATAGTTGTGCCAATTCTATCGATAATATGGATAATATAATTAGTTGACAAGTTGGAAACTAGATATTTTAGCTTTTAACTATTATATAGTAAACGTTAAGCAGGTCAAGATTTCAAGCTCGAATATCTAAGTAAAGCAGTAAGCGTAAGCTTAACATCTCGTTTAAGCCAATCAAAAGGCATTTGAAATTCCAGCTAACACTTTGATGAAGTATTATATATAGTTATATATATTGTATACATATATCGATATATACATCAAGCCAACGGGCATTTCTTTCACTCAAATGAAATAATTGAAATAAATAATCAAAAATTAAAAATTTGATTTGTGCATAAAAATGTAAAAGTATGAAAATTTCTTAGTTTTCTAGCGCTTAAACAAATATAAGATATATAATATGCATTTAATCTACATATATTATATAGATACATTCGCTGATTCAATTTCATATATACAATATATATATACATATATTGCAACTTTCCTAATAACTTGTTATAATTTAAAGCCAACTTAAAAATCTCTTCTAAGCCCCACTTGATTCTTCACTCTAATTTGCAGAATTCAGTTCATTTCAATTCAATTGATCAAACAAATAATTTCTTTGCATTTCTCTCAGTGTAATAGCCGATTGCGTATGTGGCAAAAAGTATTGGCAACACCATTTGGTTAACCCAAGCAAACTCTTATTCCGAACGAGCTCGTTCAGCGCTGCGAACGCGGATGCGCATAATGAAATGGTAACGTCTCGCTCTTGCCGCTGTTTAGTGGCAACAGCCTCCGCCTGCGCCGCCCTCTTCACTCAGTCCACTCACTCCCTCCCTGCCTCTCTATCTCTCTCTCTCTCTCTTTTACTCAACTTGTGTGTGGCTTATATTGGCGCATATTGATCGCTGCTCGCATTGGATGTTGCTCGCTGCACTGGGTTGGTTAGTTAGTTGGCAATTCGCGGTTACCACATGCATCCAGCCATATTTGCATATACTGACATGTGTGTGTGTGTGTGTCTGTGTGTGTACATCAAATTAATGTAAGTTATCGAATCCATGCGAAATATGTGCACTCAGAGGCCGATGGACGCTTCGCTGGCAACATTTTAGTTGCGGTTTGCTGTTGCCTTTGCTGTTGACCAGGCCCAAACAATAATTGTGGTATTGTAGCTGGGCTGTGGCTGCCGCAGGCGTGCACTTTACGCCGTGTTGCACCTATAAAATGTCTAATTAATGCACAACGAATTTGCGCCGCTTTAATGTTGTTTGTGCCTCGCAGTTGCGTGTTGCACACAAAACAAAATTTATTTTGTTTTCTGTTACTTTGCCTGATGCACTTCATTAGCCGATCGATAACTAAGCGAGTTCACGATATAAAGCATGCGAATATTCGATATTTATACACTAAATATTCTATATCAAAATTCATTTCAAATATTTGGAATTGAAATTTAACAAAAGTTGTTAAAATATTTAATTTAAAATGATCTTAAGTTCTTTTAAGCCAGCTCAAAAATTTTAAATGCTACTATTTATTATTATTATATAATATTTGAGCTTCAACGCTTCCTGACTCGAGTTAAATTATATGACAAAAATCGTTGATCTACTAACTTCATAAGAGATAACTTTTATTATTATTCATTATTTAATATTATCATGTAATATTAGAGCTTCAACCCTTACTGTCGCGAAATAGATCGTAAAATTCGTTGATCTACTAACTTCATAAGATATGGTCTATAAGTTCTCAAAAACATGTCTAGTTTTTAATTGATATATTAGATATATTATTATATAAAGCTGAGCTTTTGCACTTTCTGACTCGACTTAAAATAAATTTAAAAAATATTTGATCTACAAAGTTGCTAAAAGTTGATCTTAAGTTCTTCTAAACTAGTCTAGTATTTAATTGATATATAATATATCATATATTGGAGTTTCATTACTACTTGAACTGCCTTAAAAAACCACAAACAGACTTCCTATGGAATTGTTTTTTAAATTCCATAACACTAATGCAGCTCCAAGTCGTGTCCTCTGTACACCGTGCATATCTGGAGGTAATTATCGTGGAGGTCTTTTATGTGAGCGCCGATAAATTAATATCTCTATGCAATTATGTGCAACTGTCGCATAAATCATGAACTGACGATAAGCTGCGCTAGTTTTACAGTATTTCAAGCAAAGGCCGCTAATGATCTTATTATACACACACATTTATATATATAAATATATTTGAAACTGTGTCGCCAGCTCAGATAGAGCTACATATATTGAGTTATTTGTCTAGTTGCAGATAGTATTTAGTAGCACAAGCTAGTTCCATTAATTTGGAGTCCGCCTGCATTGATAGAGTCGTGCGGTGTTATCGGCTTTTTTAACTTTTACCTCAGCTGCTTTCATAGGAAAGCCGAAAAGACATTAAATCGCAATTAGACCTGCTGCAGAAGTCCCCGCGAAAACCCAATGAGTGCACCCACAATACATGTGTACTACTCACATTTGAGATACGACGAATTGCGGGCAGGTATGACCGGGTCCGGGTTCGGGTTCGGGTCCGTGCTATGGGCCCCGTTCATTGCAATTTACTTTAATAGCTTTCAATGCACCGCAAAGGCAGCGACGCCGACGACGACGACATTTCTGACAAGATGGGGGCACAAAGAGCCGACTGGGGCAAATGTGGATACTATCTGACTGCAAATTGCATTCGTATGGGTAGAATATTCAATTTATTTGCCGCTGACAGTTTTTATCACTAATTAGTTTACATTATTTTCGATAGACGCGCTTGAAAATAATTTATCTTAATTTATTATCATTGCATTTGACCACAAATGCATTTTAGTTAATTTCGGTTGTCTGACTGGCTGTCTGTTGTTGTTGCTGTTGCTGTTGATATGAACAACAATTGCTATTGTTGCATTGACAAATTGTCGGAAGCACTCAGGGTCGTATGAGAGTTGCTGCCGCTGCTGCTGCCGTCGGCATTGGCATCCAGCGTCGCTCATGATGTGGATTGCGGCCTGCTCGGCGGGCAACTCGGACTGCCGGACAGCACGGACAGCGCCGCACCGCATGTGCAACATGCCGTGCTAATTTAAAACAAAAGGACGACAAATCCATAATGTGACAAAGCGCTGCCGAGTGCCGAGTGCCGAGTGCCGAGTGCCAAGCTGTGAAGGGCGCAGCATGCAAACAGGATCAACTAACTACCAGAGGCGGAGGCAGGCAACCGTTTATTGTGTGAAGGATTAAGATTATAAAGCAGGCATATGCCTATAGACTCTATCTCTATCTTTGTCTCATCTCCCTCCCTCTCTCTCTCTATCTCTCTTTACCTCTCATTCAAATCTAGCTGTGTTTGTTTTTTAGACTGAATTCTAAACTAGTTGTCCAAATGTTCATACGGTTCAAGTGCTCTATGGGCGTGCTGGCGTCTTGAGTTTATTAACGTTCTATTTTCATAGTCAGATTTTGTAGAATTATCCATTTTATTTTATGTTTTGCTGTATTCCTGGAAAGCAGCTTTAGAAATTTCATTTAGAATTGACAAAGATTTTTAATTATGATGGTTTTAATGGAAGTTCATAAGTTTTTGCCTATTTTTATATAATAATGCATAGATCATTTGTAAAGAAAATTCAATATTTTATATATATTACAATTCATATAAATATAAATATATAATTGAATTTAAAAATTTTAATAAAATATGAAATTATATATTATATGTATATATTATATATTTAATAATATAATAAT